TAGGACGGGATACCAAGATTCGCGAACACCTGGCGGGCCCATATCACCGAACCTTTCGGATGACGACCCCATTACCAACCGGTATCGTCCAGTAGTGCATGCCGAAACCGATGCTTGTAATGTGCAGATAGACCGCGGCCAAGGCGATGAGGAGTGCCTGACAGACGACATCAGAAAGGATTTCTTGGAGAGTTGGGGTCAGGTACCGCCGCGAGGATGGTCATGTAGTCGTCCCTCCATAGACCACCCGCATACTGTTTGCTCGTGAACAGACGAAGCGTCACGACGAACAGCACAAGACTGCAGCTGATGATGAGCGTCCGTCGGACTTCCGTCCTTCGCGATGCTTTGGGGTACCCTTCGCACAGGGCCCCCTCTACCGTCGCTGCAGCTTCAGAAGGTCAGATGGGCTTCCAGAGAGGAAACAGCGGGGCGGACTTAGTTGATCATCAAACGGGCAGTTCGTCTGCACACATGTCGAAAGCTCCGATTGGACAGCAATGTCGAGACAGATGCACGCAGTCACGTCTTCTGGATCGCAGGCGGACGTGATGAATGTGCTGCTGATGCACTCGGACTAGATGGTAGATGCTCTAGCGCGACGAAAGCCTGGCTGATGCCACAATCACTCACAGCACACGACGGGACCTGCGAGAGGATCTCGACGGCCGACGCTGCATTCACGGCAGCGACAGCAAGCTGGAGAGCCAGCACTCCGAGAGTCCAAAATCGATGAGACATTGCACATGAGACGTCGACGAGAAGCTCGGAGATGCTTACGCAGACGTTGGCGACGGTGTCACCGGTGTTTCGACGCTGGCCGAGGTAGCATCCTGCAACTAGAGGTCGCTCCGCTGCGGGAGAGATTCAATGAAATAGACGGGGTGTGTATGGTTCGAGAAGGCACTTCTGGTTCTGATCGTAGTACAGTCGACGTAACTTGCTTCCTGCGCTGAGGCGCCAATGACAAAAAGCCAATTACGCCGCTGGTGGGCAGTTTGTGGGCTCATCTCTCGTCTTATGCCTCCGTTCTTTCGCTGCGAGTTTCGCAGTACTGTCAGGCTTCATCTCTCGATGTTTCATGCTTTGCAACCTGGCTTAAAGGTGACTGGGTGATTCAGGACTCCATGCGAGCCATCACCAGCAACACCAATGCATCGCACATGCCACGGCCTCAAGGGTGGGATCTTCGTTGCGCGATACAGAACACAGGGCATGGCATGTAGAACACTCTCTGGACGTTTGGAAGATACCGGGGCAGGTCATCTCTTGACACGCAAACGACATGGAAGGAATATGAAGGAATATGAAAATTTCCAAGGATAGTTATGAGAGAATTATTGAATAACACACGCCCATGCGTAATGAACTCGGCAACTACTCTATATCTACTCTATATCGCTATCGTCTTCTTCTGCACCAGGCCCGTAACTTTCGTCTGAGACGTCTGAATCACCATGATCGTCGTCTAACCGCCCTCCTTCCGACAGGTCTGAGTCTTCGCCAGATTCAACGTCAGACATAACAGAACGGTAAGACTCGTCGCCCTCGCCGTCAAACAGGTCCTCGTCCACGTCACACATTGAGTGCCCTCCTGCCTCCAGCTCGTCGTCGCTGAGCGTGTCGAGAAGTAGCTCGGCCGCATCTGCAGAACTCATCTGGAAGACGGCCCGTGTCCGGTGCATGG